GTGGGCGGGGAGGGGGGTGAGGGTTCCCACAGGTTGACGAAAGGAACTCGAAGGAAGTTCAAGAGCACATTCCTGCTTTTTCTCGCTTTTTGCCAATAGCGATCCTCTAGAGATTCCTGGCCTGTATGCTTCGGCGCAACTGGTGGTACTTGTGAAAATAAAAGATGGCTCGAAGAAAAAAAAAAAGCTTGCAAGTTGGAAACAGAATGATAGCGATAGGAGGACTCCAGGGGACAGAAGGGGTAAGGTGAGGGAAAGATGAAGAAGATAGGGGTTGGGAGACAGGGAGGTAACACTTAGGGAAAAGTTGTGTGGAAAATTGGAAATGCTGGGGCAACTTTAAAATGGAGATAGCACACTGTTTGAGAGGATGGTAGTGTGCATGGCGAGTAATGGACGAGGGATGGTAGGAGGTGGCAAGCAGGACACAATCAAGGGGAAGGTGAGTATGTAATTTGAGTAAGTAGAGGATGGTATCAAGAAATATGGGGGAACAAATGAAACTGGTAGGGAGGATATATAGAACTTTATAGAGGGAGCACGGCTATAGCCGGAGACCGGTGTTATAGGAACAAGTCTTTTTGTTTTTTCTCGAGAGGTCTTGGTTAAGAGGAGGAGACGAGCGGCCAGCGAGACTGCTAGGCTCTCCCCCCCCAGTCACCTGTGAGATTCTTCTGCTGCGTGTCTGGGTGCTGCTACTAAGCTTCCCGGCCAGCAGAAGCACCCCAGGGAAGGCTATGGTTTGGGGGGTGGGATGGCCTGTAGCAGTCCCCCCCTTGATAGGCGACTAGTACCGCAAGGGATTGGCTGATTTCTATCCCTGCAACTATCCTGTTTGAACTTATCCTTGACGGTGATAAGCAACCGGACTGATGCCCCCCAGAATGCATGGGGCTTTGTGTGTTTAAACTTTGAAATAATATTAATAATAATTATTATTATTAATATAATTAATATTTAAATTATATATATATCATGTACCACAAGCTGAGCAAAACTCTTAAGGGATACTCGCACTGGGACTTTCCTGGATGTATCTGTCTGACCAGAATTCAACCCTTGACCTGCATGTATCTGGCCGCAATTATGTCAAAAAAGTCCGTGTGTGAGTATGGTATGCTCTTGAACTGAGCAAATATACACATTCGGGATGTCTTGACCAGACGAGGACTTGCATATGCCAGGCGGAGGAAGACTGACCCGTTTGTCAACAGCGTGCAACAATCTGATTACTCTTGAGTGGCACAGGGATTCTTTTCAACCCCTCGATGATTTCTCTCTCGGACAAGAGCTTGCTATGACATCAGTCTTGCTATGACGTCAGTCTTTCAAGACTGCTACTCATGACCGCCAGGAGGAAGGAGCCTGGCCTTTGCTATGGGTGGTTTGCGAGAACCCCATCTCTTCTTCTGTTCTCCTACATGATTTTCTCCCTCCAACAACACCCCGCCATCCTCTCTCTCTCTCTCTCTCTCTCTCTCTCTCTCTCTCTCTCTCTCTCTCTCTCTCTCTCTCTCTCTCTCTCTCTCTCTCTCTCTCTCTNCTCTCTCTCTCTCTCTCTCTCTCTCTCTCTCTCTCTCTCTCTCTCTCTCTCTCTCTCTCTCTCTCTCTCTCTGTGTGTGTGCGTGTGTGTGTGTGCTGCATCCCAGTTCGATCGAGTTGGTCGAGGCCACATCCTGTCTGGATCTCTGACCTGGCAATCCTGTCATCCATCTTGTGGAGCAGCTTCATACAAAACAGTGAGTGCTGGGAGTTCATCGGCAGAAACCGCACTGACGGGAATAAGACAGAAGGGTTAGCAAACCTTTAAAAAAAAACCTCCTCTGCTGGACTGAACTGGCTTCATTGGAATGGAATGTACGTCGTATGGGCATTATTTCTGTATCTAGACTGAAAGTTGCCTTAAATGTACGTCGTATGGGCATTATTTCTGTATAATGACCGTACATTCTCTTCATGACCAAACAGACTCCAGAGTATGCAAAGAAATGTGTTACAATTTAAGAAACTTAAGAAGTAATCCGAACTATTTTTGAGTCGTTGACTCATCATTTTATGAAATGCTGCAGGATGGGCAAGAAGCAGGCAGACGGGCAGGATGGGCAAGAAACAGGCAGACGGATGGAATCCAAGCGACCATGTCTGCAGTGTGCCTCTGATGCTGTTACCACTGAGGTCCCGGCTACGGTGTTTGTAGGTTTTGTCCTTGGACATCCTGCTCCTGATCTGGTGGACAGCCGCATTTTGTTTTGGAACTGACTGAATGTTAGGGAAAAAAAAAGGAAAGAAGACGGCGACCAGAGTGAAGCATGGGTTTCGTGCCATTGTATTCATTCTCGAATAAGGTTCTTGCTTCTTTATATGACCCGCAACTCATGGATCGACCGTGCAAGGGATCGAACCGGCGATCTCAGGATCAACAGCGGGATGCCTTGACCACTTCGGCTGTGACTCAATGTCCAAAAGTCGAACCTAACCGGCCGTGATATCCCACCCCAACCCTGCACAGCTGCTGAATGAACACACACTCTCCCCCACACGCCGTCCTCCGTGCCCCTCCTACAGGGCTTATTAGCCCTTTAGCATTATAATCAGCCAGACATTCCTTTCCCGGAGAACGACTAAAGTAAACGAATTGCAGCGGTGATTTATTAAACCACTGGTACACCTGCACGTGGAGGCGACGCACCTTATCCGAACCGCCAGCGGCCCACTTTTTTTTTCTTTTCTGGCTGGCGGAGACAGCCATTGTGGTGCTGTAGGCCGAACCTCGGTGGTGACGCATTGTGTTGCTCGGTCTGCAAGGTCGAGCCTCGGTGGGGGCGCATTGTGGTCCAGTAGGCCGAACCTCGTACTGGTGAATTAAGGCTCATGAGCTGGGTGAGCTATAGAATCGTATAGATGGATTCAGTGTCACAGAGCTGATTGAAAGTTCTGTTCTCTCTCTGATCTCTTTTTTGTTTGTAATGTAAAAAAAATGTATGGAAATTGTCTTCTCAAGTTCTCACTGTTCTCAGGCCTTTGGTTGAAGTAATGGTAATACTGAATCGGTGGCTTTTTATATTATATTGTGCAGGTTCTGGTCGATGTCTTGAGTGCTTGGGTGGATAGATCTGAGCTCTTCACGCTGGAGATTTGCGCGTTGCTTCTACCCCTTCTCAAGAATCTCTTGACAAGTCAATATGACAGGTGTTGTTCCTGATCTCAACAGTTTTACCGTTAGAAATTTAGAGAAATTTAGAGTAATTATATGTGAAACCATGGGTTCGTGCTCGCTCTTGTAAGTTCGTCGAACTGCTTACAATTAAGGATAGTAGTAGAAGTTGGATTTGTTAAAATTCCAACAGCGTCAGTGCTTTGGTGTCGTGATCCTGGTTTGTCAGTGTTTAAATTTTGTTTGAAATGGGTGCTATGTCCGCTATGTCCGCTGTGTGTGTGTGTGTGTGTGTGTGTGTGTGTGTGTGTGTGTGTGTGTGTGTGTGTGTGTGTGTGTGTGTGTGTAAGCACATAAAATAGTCGACTCAGGGCAACGTATTTGAAGTTTGAAGGCCAGTCAGTGCTGTCCCAGGAGACGCCGATGCGCAAAGACTTGACGATGGTTGTCGCAGAGCTCTTGAGTGGACAGAAAAGAAAACAAAGGGCAGTGAAAAAAAATGAAGGAAAGGCGGACAAAAGACAGTGACACAAAGGGCATGAGACAACAAAGCTAGCTCCGTTGCTACAACAATGACAACAAACATTATGTTATGCAGAAAAATAATCAAAAATTCAAAAATACATTGAAGTTATTATTGAACAACTTTTGCCTCAGGGTCACATCGAAATTCTTTACCAATTAATACCAAAAGGTCCAAATTCAAAAAAAGAAAAAAAAACTTATTTAAAATTTAGAGTTATTTTATATTTATTTGACAATTTGACAATTTGTTGATTTTATTTGTTTTTTGGACCGGCTGGGCAAGTGGTCCCATGCCACTCTGGTAGCCTAGAAACTAATGTTATTCCGCCGGTTGTGTTCACTGGATGGCTTTCAGGTACTTGACAATTGCAATCTCTGTTATCTCCCTGCTGTTGAAGAGCTTTGGGTCAATCATTCAAGAAACGAGGCTGGCAGCACCATCTGCACCTGGAGTAGATCTTAGTGGGGAGCAGAGGTAATTGCATCACCCTATTTTTTTCTTCTCTTAGTGTTAAAAAAAAAAAAAAAAAAAAAAAAAAAACACGTATTGCTTCTGAAACATTGGCGAAAGCATTGCAAAGAAGAAAAAAAAGAAAACATCAAACAAAAACAGAACTTAAAGTGCCCAAGCGGGCTATCTCAGTTGGTTGAGCACGTGAATGGCACTCGTGAGGTTGCGGACTTGATGCCCAACGTCGTCCTTTTGATCCCCTCGGCCTCCTGGGGTATGCTTCGGGTTGAGCAGCGGAGATTGTTGGCTCGGGCCTCCCGGCTGGTTGTTGAAGTAATCGATTCTTTCCAGCCCGCGCGGAGCATTAGGACCTTGGGTACTGCTCCTCGGACAGAGCAGAGATAGATTGAGGTAGACCATTAACCTTAGGATCACCCAGCTTGCCCAGTGAATTTAAGCTTCGTGCCTCTAGGCTAATTGTAGGTGGTTCTTAGCTGGTAGACTTAGGGGGGTAGTGTAGTTCACCTGTTTGCTTCTTCAGGGATAGTTGTGGCCCATGAGGTAGGTAGATAGGGTGAGATAGACATGAGATCGAGAGAAGAAAATAAGGGTAGCAAAAAATACAGCGTGTCCCCCATATATGAGGAGAAGACAGCTGTATTTTATTTTCTATTTTCCCTAGGCACTTTTGCTTCTTCAGGGATTGTTGTGGCCCATGAGGTAGGTAGATAGGGTGAGATAGACACAAGATCGAGAGAAGAAAATAAGTGTAGGAAAAATTACAGCGCGTCCCCCATATATGAGGAGAAGACAGCTGTATTTTCTATTTTCCCTAGACACTCCTGAAAAAAATACCGGTCCTTGTGTGACGCCCTCCACCGGGCCTAGAAAATTTTGCTGCGGGCGCGTTGTCCCACACGGCACAAACCGGCATCTCACACGAAGGCTAAGGAACTCAGTGCGCGAAACGTCACAGGGAAGGGCCGGGGCCGAAGTGCGCGTCGGGCCGTTGCACCTTTTTGGTTGTTTACTCGATGGGGATAGCATGGTGCGTGCGAACGGGCTGAGCACGAGGAGTGTGGAAATGCAGAGGAGGTCGGGAGAGTGGGAGGGGAGGAGGAGGTCGCGCAAGGGGGAGGAGGTTGTGGGAGGTGGAGACGCGGTGGGGAGGGGGTTGGAATGAGGTCGGGAGAAGGTCGTTAAAGAGGAGGGAGGGCGTTGTGAGTAGGGGAGAAGGAGGTCAATGAGAAGGGGAGGAATAGAAAGCACGAGAGGGAGGGGAAATCAGTGACGAGAGGAATGGTGTCGCACTTTTTCCAATCAGACCACTCTCGGTGATCAGAAAGACAACAGGCTGTCACGCAGGATTTTTTTATTTTTTTTTGCAATAAATAATTGAATAATTATTAATTTATGCAAATCCCTCCTGTTGCATGTGTCCGGCTTCGAGTGAGACCCTTCAATTGCGGTCTACGCCGGTCGTCGCTCTTAGGAATCTTTAATTGTGATTCGAAACAACAAATATGATTATGTGAATAATAAATTAAAATAAAATGTATAGCACATCATAATTGCCAAATCTTAGGAATTTTGATAACTGTGACGGGATCAGCAAAGAGCATAGAGTCAGACAATGCCAATGAAACTCGATCAAGACTGACTTGACTCAAGGCAAAGACAAGATGAATGAGGGAAGGTGAGAACTCGTAATAATCTCAGAAAGTACAGCTGAAAAGACATGGACAGCACTCGTCAAGAGTCCTCACTCTCCCTCTCAGTTCTCATCGTCAATCTCTCATTTGACTGTGAATCTGTTGTGCCGTGAGCCACGTCTATGTACCGCTTGAGATTGTGGCCTAGAGATGTAGAGCCACCTAAAGCCCATGAGTTTCGAATAGGTCCATCCAAAACCAAAGATTCTGAAGTCAAGCATAGCACAGAACTCCTTCCACAGAGTAGGGAGATATGGTCTGGAGAAGATCCCTCGTCTGAGATGTCAGAACTCTGAAGGTTCAGTCACCGCCTCATAATCAATCTCTGCCGGTGAGACGTACCTCTTGGCCATATCAACCAACAATTCACCCCAGTAAGAACCATCGATGAGGTAGAAAGGGACCGGAGGCCTAGGGTAGTCGGTGTATAACTAAGGACCAAAGCTATGAATCAGCTTTGTTTCCCCGTGAAACACCCTTGCTCTCTCCTCAACATACCGGGCATACCGGGCTGCTGTAACCCAAAATGAATCGATATGCTCACGAGTCTCTTTCCCCCTTTTTTTTTTTTTTTTTTTTTGGACCATTTCTCGATTTATGCGTGTCATTCTTGCGCAGGGGCCATGCTAATCTTCTCTGCATCGTTCCAATTTTAACGGATGTCCTGAAGGACTCTCTTTCCCCTTTTTCACATAGATCCTCAGATTTTTTTTGGATCGTTCCCTCTGCAAACTCAGTAAGGACGACGAAGATTGACAGATCTTCTTGTCTGAAACCGGCTGCACTTACATATTGTTATTGGAAAGCATCCTTGGAAGCTATCCTGTTGAGGTTGTTCAAAACTGACCCGTCGACCGGAAATGACTGAATTATACTCATGTGTCGAGATGGGTACTGAAACTGATCTCAACATCTCTGATGAAAGCACTGTCTGACTGATGTTGATCTTTGTGAAGTCGGATAATGTCTGAATAACATTAAGTCCTGACTGAGGATCATTGATACCGTTTTAGATGACTGATAGTTGTCGAGTAGCAAGCCATTGATTGCTGGTTGCTGACAACAAGAGGCTGGGAAAGTTCTGGATCGCTGGATGATACTCGCTGATTGATGCACTGGAAAATGTTCTTCAGAAAGAATGAAGGTGAGATTAGTCAGTTTCACCTGAGCTTTGCCCTGGCCTGCTCAACGGTCTCTAGTGACGAGCCAGTGCTGTGCAGTTTGCCATTGCGATCGCGAAAGTAGAAGACATACTCTATATATTTCTTTTCTCCAATTCTCTGGGAAGCATGTTCTCTCAGGGTTAATTTATGGAACTCCATGTCCTGATCGGCTTCCATCTCCCATGACTCACATTTGTCTTTGCTGATTCTTCATTTTATCAACAGAATTTCCTTGTCTCTCACAGTCTCTTTTCTACTTCAGGATCCGAACTATGACAAGAAACAGGGAAGGAGGAAGGATGACTAGTGGCTTGATAGGTTCAGCACATGAAAGGAGCCAGCAGTTGTCCTTGCCGTACGTGATTCCCTCTAGCTGTCTCTTGTCAGCGGTGGATTCTTGTTTTATCAGTTAAGATCGAAAAGGAAGTTCTGATTGTCTTGCCGTTTCAAAACGTTAAGATGGTTGTTTGCTGAGTCAAATCGTTCGCTCAAAGTATTTAGTGTTGCTACGTTCTTCAATGTCTTGCAGCCAAATTTCCCAGCTAAAGTCCACAGTGAACTGCTCAACAAAACAGTCCGCTACTAGCCCTTGGCGAACTGCCTGCTGCAGGAACTGTTAGTGGATCACTTGTTGCTTGCTTTCGTCTTCTAGCACAAGGATGCTGCCAAGTATTGGCTTCGTTAATGTACAGCTTGGTACGATGCCAACAGTTCACCCGCTTAAGTACTACACGGCGCAGTGCAGATCTTAGTCGTTTCCCGTTTACTGCTCAGGTGTTAAGCGTTGTTGCCCACATTATTGTAATGTGCAAGGCAAGCTCTAATGGTATTCTCAGATCGACTTCTACACAGGGTAGTACATGAGACATTTCGCAGTTCGAATACTACGCAGGGTAATACGGACAACATTCTTAGCACTATGCTGAGTAGCATTACCCAAGGCAATATCCACTTGAATAGTAAAGTAGTGAACCTCACTCGGATATCACAGTGGGGATCATTTGAGGGGTGACCACTGCTTAGAGTAGTACATGATGCACCATTGAGTCATTGACAGATTACTTCGAATAGCAAGTGTAACATCATTGGTGACAACTAGCGCTTTGATGAAATGCAGAGCATTGTCAGATGTCGTGCCCGCTCATAGTGTTCGGGTCCTGTGCGTGATGGAGCTAGTGCCCTCGTGTATTCAGTGCGGTCCTGTGCTTGATGGAGCTAGTGCCCTCAGCGTTAAGAGTCGCGTCCTCAGCGTTAAGGGCGTGGGTGTTGTTGTGTGTGTGTGTGTGTGTGTGTGGAGTAAGGTAAGGAGTCCCCCTCATGTATTCGCTGCGACGCCCTCAGCGTTAAAGCACCAGCACACCACACAACGGCCCGCAGGTGTCAGCACGAAACCCGCACCACTTCGGAGGCCGCCAATTTTTTTGTTCAACAGCGCCCCACGCCGCGCGGCCCCTCCCAAGTTCTGCTTGTGGCGACAAAAACTTTTTGCATGGCTGGGGCCGTGTACTTGCTGTTTAAGAGCCTCGTCCTCAGCGTTAAGAGCCTGGGTTGTGTTGTGTGTGTGTGTGTGTGTGTGTGTGTAGAGAGCAAGGTAAGGAGTGTAAGGACACTACAGCCATGCAGGGGCGGGGTTGATATCAGGACCGGTATGGTTTCACTTTTGATATCAACACTGGGCCATGGCTGTCGTGGTAAAGAAACTCGGTGTTCAAATCCGTGCGTGCCGGTTCGAATCCGTGCGTGCGTGGAGGTGGTCTAAGGGACTGGTAATAGAACTGACTTCCGAGAGCCGTCATTTCGTTATGTCGTGCACTCTATGCTGGCTGTACTTGGCATGTTCATCGCGGATGGATGGCCATTGCTGCTTGACTTGTCAGATAGAGCGTTTCATAACTTCGCGTCAGGACTTTTTTTTTCTTGCAGGTGCATTTTCGGACAGAATGCAAGTGTCTTCTTTTCTTCAATTCCCGCTTTGAATCCACGTGACAGAATATTTGGGCTCCTAGGTAATTCCGCAGTAGGTCACTTTTTTAATCTGATTGTATCTGGACTTGAACTTGGGTGTT